TTCTATGATTCTATAATTCTATGATTCTCTGATTCCATAATTCTATGATTCTATAATTCTATGATTCTCTGATTCCATAATTCTATGATTCTATAATTCTATGATTCTCTGATTCCATAATTCTATGATTCTATCTATAATTCTATGATTCTATAATTCTATAATTCTATAATTCTATAATTCTATAATTCTATAATTCTATGGTTCCATGATTCTGTGACTCTCTGCTCCCTGCCCTCCTCTCCAGAGATGGAAGGTTGCAAATACAGCCACCGCTTTCCATCCACACCACCCCAAAACCTCCCCGTTCTCCCAAGCCTAAGGCAGAGCCACCACCCCCTTCCCAAGGAAAAGGCTGAAATCCCAGGAAATCTCTGTGTCCCCCCCCCCAGCTCACCAGGCAGTCCCTCTGCAGCGTCTTGCACAGGGCGTTGTACATGTCCGAGTCCAGGAAGAGCCCGTCGGGCACGTCCTGCATGAAATCCAGGTCCTTGTAGGTGGGGAAGACCTTCTCCCTCTCCTTCTGGGAGGCCCTGCGCTTGTAGGTGGAGCCCTTGAGGTCGTACTTGAGGTGCATCTTCACCGAGCGGGGCAGGAGGTTGTTCATCACCACGATGCGGATGTTCTTCCCGCCCGCCTGGACGCAGTAGAGCCCGTAGAACTTGGGAAGGAGGGTCCTGGGGTTCTGGTTCAGGTTCTGGAAGGCCAAGGACAGGGGAAAAAACACATCAAAAACCATCCAGGATTTGGGGGTTTCTCCCTGGTTCAAAGGGGAACACGGGGAAGAGACGGGAAAGGCCGGAGGGAGGAAGGAGTTTGTTGTTCCTTCACTCAAATTGAGGCTTCAGAGCAAAAGATCTCGGTCTCAGTCTTTGAAATTTGGCCCTCACGCTGAGCTAAAGGTATCAGGATAAAGCTGGGTCTAAACTCTCAGGGCTGCAGAGACACTGGACAGAATTAGGAAGGAAAAGAACGTGGTTTTGGGATATAATCACAGCACAAACATCTGTGGGGTTAGGAGGAGTTTAAAGAGCTGAACTCTGTGTGACCAGACTGAGCTTAACCTTTTAAACCTGGCCCTTAGGCCAAGCCAAAGGTATCAGGGTCAAGCTGGGCCTAAACTCCTGTGTCCAAGGCCAGGCTGGACGGGGCTCATGGCAGGTGTCCCTGCCCAGGCCCTGGATGAGCTCAAGGTGCTTTCACCCCACACCTCTCCGTGATCCCACGCACCGGCTGGGCTGGGCTGGCTCCCGAGGGCAGCATTCCCAAGATTCCCAAGATCCCCAGCATTCCCAAGATTCCCAAAGTCCCCAGCATTCCCAAGA